CGCTTGTGCCCGCGGGTCCCCAGCTGGCTGCCTGGTGGGAGCTCGGTTCTGCTTTAGGTCTCTAGAGCAGGTGCTAGACTCTAGCCTATCCTTCAGCGCAGAGCAAACTAAGCTGTTTAACGTAGCGCTTTATAGCTTGCCCAGGTAAGAACGAGAGAGAACAAACGCCCTGACGCGGCGTAGAGCGGGAAGGAGTTTCCTTTTTAGAGAAGGAGGGAGGTGAGGCTTGCCGTTTCCACTGACAGCAGTGGCGGAAAGCTGACTTGACTCCCTCCCAGGAAATTCTAGCTCATTTGTCTTGCTCGGTGCCCTGAGCAATTCCCTCTACAATCAGGAACTTTGCAGGGAAAATAAATTAGAGCTGCATGCATTTCTGGCGAGGCTAGCAGAGGACAGGAGAAGTGGGAAAGGGCCTGGCTGTTAGAGGGTGTAAAGCCTTTGGGTATCACGGGACAAGTCATGGAGGGCTCCAGTATCTAGACTTTTCTGGCTTTTGTCTTGGAGCGGATGGCAGGCCAGAATGCTAATTTTACAGCATGTATATACGTGCGCGTGTTGGGTTTGGGGCTTTTTTTCTCCACTTTATAGCCTTGGCGATCCATCTCTTTTTCCCTCTTTCTGACCAATAGGTGTACAGCAGGTAGGGGCTGGGCCATCCTGCTAAACCTTTTTCCTGCAGGGTGCACTTTGGCTAACCCACCTCGTAAAATCCAATGCAGCCCATGTGGATTGTAGGCAGACCTGTCAGGAACGCAGAGACAGATGAGTTTCAGCGTAGCCAGTCGTCAGGAAAATTTCTCCAGCTATGTGTGGCCTGGAGAAGCGCCAGGCCAGCCGGAGGCTTGGCTGAGAAAGCATGTAGGGAAGGGTGGAGGTTGCTTATGGGGAGGTGCTGCGCATAGGAAGGGCAAACAGAAAACGAAGTAGATGCGTATCAAATCCAGAGGTACGTGCCACTCGCTGCCAGACAGAAGCTAGGCTAGGCCAGGCCAGGCCAGAAAGCGTTGGACCTTTTGGGAAGAGGGTGTTATCTAGCAGCGTGAGCTGGGGCTGGATTTAGGGCTTGTGTTCCTCCCCACTTGTGGGATGGGGAGACGAGTTACCAGGCAGCTCAGGGGACAGCGATTGAAGGCCAGGAGTTAGGGGTGGAAGAGATCACTGCTTTTCATCCTGGTTCAGTTCTCTAAGTAGTCCCGCAAATAGTTACATTGATGCAAGGCAGGGGGAAATCCTGGCAAGACGGGCAGTGGGGAGAGAACTTGCAGGGGCACAGCCTACCTTGGATGTTGAGAGAAATGTCTGTGGGACCTCGGGTTGAGTTTGCAATCGTCATTCAGTGCCTCAGTTTCCCTTGCTGCACTGTGACAGTGGTTCTCCTTTTGAAAGCAAGTCATGCTCTGTGCTTGGGAAGCCTCTGAACACCTCAGTGCAGAGCAGTATAACGTGTGGAGCGAGCGTATTCGCACCTCCTTGTCAGGGTCTAGTTGTCTGCATGTAAGCAAGACCGGCCCTTGGCGCTGTTGGCAGGAACAAAACAGAGAAGTTATGTGCTTCCCCACCTCTGTGGCCTTGTTTCTGTCCAACAGCCTGCAGAGAGCGAAACGCTGCTTATATAGCACGTTATCTGCCCTGGTTTTGTTCCCCCCCGCCCCGGACTGCACGTACAGGAACTGCCCTAAATGCCTGGGTAGAGTAATCTTTAAGGAGATCTGAGACAAACCATGTGAAACATTGCTGTGGTGGACCCAGCTGGGCACCTCCTCTGCTTCCTTCTTCCTCTGTGCCAAGACATGGTGGAACAAACTGATTGGATTTCTGCAGCCATCTCCTCCCCGAAGAGGGTGTGAGAAGGCTCTCCCTGCATGGCCTACCTCCTTGGCCAACCTCTCGGGTATGATAACCCTCAGTTAGCAAAGCCGAGGAGTCCTGCTGGCAAACCGGAAGCTACAACTATGCCCCGTGGTCATGACTCATCAAGTCTGCTTGATGTTAGTTAGCATGATTGTTGTTTCTCCCCAGAGATCTGCAGCCACCTGAGCGTCACTGAGGGTCAGTGTGTATCACTCTGCTCTCGCTCATAAAGGCTTGGTTGGAGCTGTCACGTGCAAACTATTTCTTGCTGTTTTGCCAGAGCACTACAGAGGTTTTTAGGCAAGCCCTGAGAAGCTATGGCCCTGTGTTGCAAAGCAGTAAAGTGCTGTATGGGTTAATTTCTGCCTTCCAGTCTCCCTGTTCCTATTAGTCTTGGGCTTTGTATTAGGCTGCCATGGTCTTTGTCAACAAGGTAAATCAAAGCAGCCTTTGTGCACGTTTATTATGAAGGTGTGGAAATTTTAAAAGGTTTAGGTGGGCACTGACAGAGGAAGAGGGAATGAAGAGAGCCGGCTCGCGTACGTAGGCCAAGTGTAGGTAGATTTATGGCATCTCCTTTCCTGGGAGCATAGGAGATAATGCGTGATGCAGGGGGATGTGAGCTGTTTGGCCTGGTGTTCAAATTCCATTTCAGCTTCCTATCGGGAGCTCTGCGGGGATCAGGTCAGCTCTCAAGTGCTGCAGCTCCGTGGGCAAGAATAGTTAGCCACCCCATACTCCAGCCATTTTGGCCAGCAAAGGAAGGGGGAGAAACCCACACTGGTGACCCAGGTTTATTTACCTGGGTGGTGCTGCTTCCTTGCAGAGACAAAAATGTGGAGACCTTGCCTACTGGTGGGAACTGCATCTACAGTTTTCCGGTTTCTAGGAGCGAAGAGGGTGGGAAGCGATTGAACACTTGGGATGATAGGTGCGTCCATACTTTTGTCAACTAGTTAGCATCCATCTTTGCTGGTCAAAAACAGGCCGGTGGGTATAGTGATGTTAGTGCAACTGGCTCTGAAGGGGGTAACGCGCACATGTGTGTGCACGCAGACATGCTGAATGCCCTTTTGTAGGGACCGAGTCCCAAGGCTCTTTTAGCAGAGTAGTGGCCCCTTCACCTTTCTGCTCCAGCTTCCTTATCTGTCAAAGAGAGTTAGTAAAGCCGATATGCCTCACAAAAGGTGCTTCTGGCCAGAAGTAGGCTTAAGCTACTGGCTTGAGAATCTATTTGGTTGCATGGTTTTGGTTTCCTAGATCCTGCTCTAGATTGGTTCACACTTGGATTAGAGAGTGCCAGGACCCAGTGGTTCATTTGAAAAGATTATTGAGTCTGGTGTTTTAAAAAGACTTGGAAGGGGAAAGGGTACAACAGTATCGCTGTAACAACTCCAGCGTGGAGTACTCCCATCCCCAGGCTGCTTTCTTTCGTGTAAAACCAGCCTGTGACTGAGCCCTGCAGAGATGCAGGCTTGTTTGGCTCCTGCTCTCTGTCTTCCAAGTTTGTTGGCATGTACTTGTTTGTTCCGGAGTCGTGTGGCCAGGCATGATCTTACCCAAGGTGCTCATTCTGTGTATGTGCTGACAAACTCGGTTCTGTTTGCGCTGTAGACCGTGAACTGAACAGACCTTGCTTCTCGCCGAAGCTGGCCTGACGTGTGTGAAGCCCAGGAAAGATGAGCGTTCAGCCCTCTTTAGGGAAAAGCATTTACACCCTGAAAACGGAAGGCGTTGCACGCGTTCCGTCTCTGGACGCGTCCTCTGTCCTCCGCTTCCCCACTCCAGCCTCGCATCCCCTTCTCTGCTCTAAATGCCGCATCCATCTTTCTCTGTTTTTTCGCACTGGGTTGCTCCCCAGATCCCAGCTGGGTGAATGTCATGCGGAGCAGGAGTCAAAGAGCTTGATCTGATTTGACTAATTTGGTTTTATCTCTAGTTTGGATTCTGCGGGAGAGATTTCCCCTGGCATAAACCAGGCCCTCCACGTGTCCAGGCCTAGTCACTGTCCCAGAATGGCAGTGCAATTACTTACTGTCTCTTTCTGCCTGGAAATCCCAAATACAATTTTTAGAAAGCCCGTTCATTTCATTTAGTTTCCCTTCCTGGCACGAGCAGCCTCTATGGATGGCGATCCAGCAAGGAGCCGTGTGCTGCTTGCCTATTACCTCGGGTTTCAAGTGTCTCTTCCTATCAAATGCAAAGCAGAAGAAAGCAGGGCTCTCATGCATTCCCTTTTTTTCCCTTCTTCCATCCATTCTAAATGTATTTCCATGCCTTGCCGGTTTCAATCTTCATTTCCTGACCCTCTCCCGCATCCCCAGTCACAGCCTCTGCTCAGAGCCTACCTTTTGAGCTTGGAGCGTGCTGGGAGAGCGCTGCTCTGGGCTTGGGAGGATATGATGGGGTTAAAGTGAGAAGCTTGATTTTAACAGTATAATGTGTAACCCCATAATGACTTTAAATATTGATTATTTGAAGGCCATTAGCGCTTATTGTTAAAGAAAAGTCAATACTTTTTAAGCCTTGTGAACCATTTGTCTCCTGTTAAAGGACATATCAAATTTAGCAGCATGCAGTGCAAATCCCCTAATACCCTGTTCACAAGCCTCCAGCTGGCATATTAAAGAAAAAAAAAAGGTGGAGGGGGAAGGAAGATGCAGTAGCACTCACAGAAGGGCTCTCTGCAAGGCAGGGACGGGGCTTATCAGTTGTAATTGCCAAGGCATAGATTCGTTCTCAGAGTATGGGGCTGTAATTCAGCCCTTACTCTGGGAGGTGGAAGAAGAGGAGGAAGGTACATCAGAGGGGAGATGAAGGCTGATATCTACCTGAGAAAGAGCCCAAGGGTTTGTGTTTTGATGCACATCCGTCTAAAAGCACAGTAGACCCTGTTATGGTCTCTGGGGCTTTTTGCTCCAGGGTTGCCAGTTCGTTTCCAGGCTTGCTTGGAAGCGATTGGCTGTGTCTGTAGCAGGTGAGGGTTTCCCAGCTCCATGTCAGGACTCGACCCCGTCACACTCCCTCCCTCCTGTGCTAGATTTCCTTGCCAAGGGTGCAGGCAGACGGGCCGGAAGGGAGCAGTGGCAGGCTCCAACAAGTTCCTTGCCTGGACAGCCAGGAGACTGGGGCTGTGGAACAGCAGATCGTGCCTGCCCTTCCTGATGGTGCGGGCAGTGTGAATCACTGCTCCTCGGGGGCTGCGCAGGGTGAGCCAGGGACTGTCGGTCTTTCTGCAGGGAGAAGAGTCCCTTGTCCCCCAAAAGGCAGTGCAGAGGGGGTTGATGAGCATAGCTGCTTTCTTTCCGAATTGTCTGCTGCTGGGGACTGATGCTGAGGACTAGGAGAATGGCAGGAGAGCAGCAACGATTTCTTTGTGTTTGGCCATAGGCAGCTTCCCTGCTCTGGCTCCAAGCTGCAGACTCCATGGGTCTTAACAGTGCCAGCCGTGGGACCTGCAGCTCATCCCGTCCCTCTGGCCTCGCTCAGCAGCTTTGCCCTATGTGCCCTTTTGGTGGAGAGCTCTAGCGTTGCTGAGAGGACAGCTCTGGGGGGTCTCTGTATGGTCTGGTTTGCACCTTGCCTTGCAGGCTGTGTCAGGCTGGCATGATGACAGCATCTATAAACGCGTCTCCCTGAGTTTTCCATCCCCAGCATGGGTTGCATGTTTAACCTGCCATGCCTGCCACGTGCGTGGCAGTGCGATCAGCGATTGCTGCCTCCCGCTTTCACCCCTTCCCTAGCTGGGGCATCACTCACTTGGCAGTCCAAAGTGTGAGCCGATCCCTGGCCTTGAAAGGCAGGGAGATTGGTCCAGTTGCACAGCTGTGATGAGAGGACAGCGGGAATCAACTGCAGGGTCTTGAGGAGATGCGAGTCCCTTAGGAATAAAAGTTAGGCCCTGTAGCGCAGCGTTAAAAGCATAAAAACGGGCTCTGATTAACACTGTGCTGCCACCAAAGTGTTAACCTTTCATTTTTCTAGTGCCCAGTCCTGATCCCCATCGAAGTGTACGCTTCCTGAGCACAGATTTTTCTCTTCTTGGTGAAAATCAAGAGGCTTTCTGTGTTTTTAATATTTCCTTCGGAGCTCTCTGTGTGCAGCCTGCGCCTGGGGGCTTCTGTGCATTGTTCTCTCTCTTACAGAAACCCCTTTTCTGCATTTATAAAAGGCAGTGGGGACGGGGCCACTGCTTGCCTGGCCGTGCAATGGTTAAAAGCGACTTGATTTCCTAAATTGCTTCTTATAAAACGAACAGCACGTCTGCCAGGCTCGTCTCCCCATGATTACGGCTAATTACGATCGAACGGACACCTCCTAGCCCCCGTCATGCCGCTTTAATTGTCCGTTATTCATCTGCAGGCTGTCCAGGGTGGCAAAGCACTTGGCAGCCCAGCGACCGAGGCCTCGGCTAATTGTGAGGCCTCGGGGATTAGGGCAGGTGATTACACACTTCATGGTGTAATTACATAAGCATCGCTTGGCTGCTGCCCCGGCTCCGAGCCGAAGGTCACGCGCTGCGTTACCTGAGATTAATTGGAGCTGCCACTGAAGTGCGAGGTGCTGGCGGAGCGGTTATACGATTAGCATTAACATTTCAACAGCGACGGATCGATCTGTGGCTCTCCTCCAGACACAGCGAGCTGTGCAATTAGTTTAGAGGAGAGCTAGGGGAGGAAGGAGGGGAAAAGGAGAGAGGGAGGCAGTCAGGGGAAGGGGAGAAGGAGGATAGAGACAGACGGGCAGGGGGAGGCAGAGGGTAGGGCGAAGGAGGAATTTCAGCCCGATCCGTGTTGCGGAGCAGTGTGTTGCAGCGTTTTGTAGCGGCTGTTGCACAGAAAGGAGATAAAAATTGTTCCAGGAAGATCTAGGAAAAGGGCAGGAAGCCTTTCCTTGCAATGACTGTTGAAAACCTGGTGTTGTATGGAGCCCCGTCCCCAAATAGTTCTCGTCTGGCTCTTTGTGCACCGCGGTGGTAATCCATCCCCAGCTGGGTGGGGTGGGAGCGTGGGTAGTTGGGATTCTCCCGTTATCCCACTCCCGTGCGTCCTACGCTGGTAGGAAGAGTGTGGTTGTATGTATAGTCTGTATCTTGCAAAGTCACAGGCACCTTCTTCCTCCCTCTTTCTTGCCCTCTAGTCTCTCCTGAAGCAGATTTTATAGGGAGACATTGTAAAATGAAAATAAACGGCACAGCACTTGGCTTTGCCTCTAGATGCCCCGGTGAAGGTAATAATGTTGTAAGTGGCTATCAAAAGAAATTAAGAGACGTGCAGCCGGAAAGCAGAGATTTGCTTGCAGGCTCCCAGGGCAGATTTGACTAATGGAAGAGACCTTGGCTCCTCTTCCCTTCCTGCATATTCTTTGCTCTTTTTCTGCAAGCAAGCTCTACCTGCTTTGCTTCCGGGCCTTGTCCTCTTCCCCACCCCTCAAACCTGCCTCCTCCAGCTCACGTGTCACCTTATATCCACTGTGCCCGTTCTGGTCAGCATCACGAACTCCAGCTCTGGTAGCCCCCCTTTCCACTGGCCCTGTGGCACTTCCTGCTCTCCTTCACCCCCATCCCCATCCCTCCTCTGTGCCTCGCTGCCTCACAGACCACTTTTCTTTCCAGAATTGGAGATCACCCCTCGCCCCAGCCAGGATAGTGGTTTTTGGCCTGCCAGCGATGCCTTCAAATCTGCACAGACGCTCTCTCCAGCTCCCAAAATATAATACGCCTTTTCTGTTGGAAGGTAGCCAAGATAAAAACTCAGGCTTGCTGTGGGGGAAAGGCGAACACAAGGATCATCAGCACTGCCTTTGCTAGCCCTCAGCAGCCAGAGCCCCTTCAAGCAGCCTAAGTGAAAGGCCACAGAAACAAATGTATCAGAACAGGAGGATGGGAGGTAGGTGGGATCTTGAGAGTCCTGGCTGCTTTCTTCCCCATCTGGCTCTGCGTCTTTTCATTTTTCGCTCCCCTTTTTCAAGTTTGGCGTATGGATGAGCAGGCGTCTTTTTATATCAGAGCAGCCTCCTGTATCAAATGCAGGTCATCGGTAGAAAGGATGTTCTTGCTGAGCCAGGACTTTCTTATCCTGTTAATGGAGTCTCCGGATTTTCAACATTAATTCTTCTTTTCTGATTTCTGCAGGGAGATATCCCACCCACCGCCTCTGCTTTCACCCCAGAACGCGCCCCATATTGCCCTGGGGCCCCACTTGAGACCTCCTTTCCTCGGGGTGCCTTCAGCTCTGTGCCAGACACCAGGTGAGTGCGCAAGGAGATGTGCTTGCAACCAGCTCGGGGAAGTGGGTAGAGAGAAGGTGCTGGCAGTGACAAACTTTGCTTTAGCCAAGCAGCCTGGCCGCAGGTTTCCTGTTTCCCCTTTGCTGTTGTTCTGACCCACCTGTGTTTTGCAGTGGTTGGAGCAGGTTGCCTCGGCTGCCCTTTCCCTTTTGCTCTCCCTGGTCCAATGTTGCAGCGGCAGGCTGTGCTGCCTTGGGAATGGGAGGAATAGATGTGCCCTAGAACAGAAAGGGAGCTCACAACTGCCCTTTCCTGCTCAGTTAGTCCTCTGGAGAGCTGGCCCTGAGTTAGCAGGGAGTGCACGCAGGCACAAATAACCCCGTGTTATTATTCTGCCCATCCCCAGGTTATGGGTTCCTACAGCCAGCACAAGCAGAGATGTTTGCACGGCAGCAGGAGATGCTACGAAAGCAAAACCTGGCAAGGTAAAGAACGTGGGGGTCTTTCCTGCCTCTAAGCCTTCCTGGGTTGGGGTTGGGTTTTTCCTTCCGTTTTCTAGGAGCAGACAGAGTAATGTGGGGTGCTGTGTTGGATGAGCTGTGCAAAAGGGTCAGAGCAGTGTTCAAGAGTGGAAAAAATATAAGGGTGCGGAGACCATACCTTGGTCCTGCAAGCCCTGTTTCAGCAGGGGTGGTGGTTGGTGAGTTACTGCCAGAGCCTCCTCGGTGATGTTCCCTCCCTGACTCTCCCGCTTAGATTGGAGATGTCAGCTGAGATCATCCGCCAGAAGGAGCTGGAGAACCTGCACAGGCAAAGGCTACTGGCCAGCGATCCGCTGAGCTTGCACCCGGGCTTGCCGCCGGACCACCCGGCCCTGCGCAACGTGCATGACATCCCGGAGGGCCACCCGCTGCGGGAGGAGCTCTCCCGGAGGAACGCCATGCTGGTGCTGCGGCACAACAACACGCCCCTGCTCTCCCTCAACCCCGGCGTCCCCAGCAGCGCCACGCCGCCCAAGGAGCAGCCTCGGCGCGGCAGCCGGAAATCGGCGCACCACCGCGCCGAGCCACAAGGGCTGAGCGAGGCCAAGGAGCTGGCGGAGCCCCGGGTGCGGGACGGGCTGCCAGACTGTAATGATGAGGAGATGAAGGACTCTGAGAGCGATGCAGACGTGAGTGACGAGAAGCCGGAGAACCTGAAGGCTGAGAGCAGCAGCTCGGCCACAGAGCTGAAGGAGTGCAAAGAGACAGGCAAAGTCTGCGAGGGGGCCAAGGAGCTGAGTGAAGTGGCTGCTGGCCAAAATGCCCCCTGCAGCTCCTCGAGTGCGGAGTCCCCCAGCCACTTGCTCGGCCCAGGCATCAACAAAAATGAGGTGAAATACCTCCCGCCAGCCTCCATCCCACCACCTCAGCCACTGCCCTTCGGATTCCCTTACACGATGAGCCCATACTTCCATGCAGGTGGGTACGTGGGGGGCCGTTCACTGAGTTGCTGGCTGGAGCAGCAACACGTTTTGCAGTGTGCTAAGTGTGGGACTTTTCCCACCTGCTGGTTTTTAGTGCTGTTGTAGGTTGTCTTTCTCTGGGGGGACCGAGCATCATCTTATTAATTAATATAAAGGGCTCCATTTGAAACGAGACAAGTCAAAAGCCAGAAAGAGTGCCAAGCACATGAGAAGGGAGAGGCCAATGTGATGAGATTAAGGGATCTTAGAATTGCTTGGACCTTCTCTGGATGCTATGTCTCAAGAGAGATACCTGTAAACTATAGGAGGCTTCAGGGATTGGCAGCAAAAATTACTAACGGCTGCAAGGGGCTGCCCTGGAAAGCGAAGAGCCAGAAATGTTGTGTGTGGAAGGGTGGCTTGAAAAGCTGTCCAGTTTGTTGGGCTGTGCTCGTGTGATTTCCAAGCACTGGAGACTGGAGGGGCCAGATCGGAGAGAAACAGCCTGATATGGCAGGACAAAGGAAAGGAAGAAAAGTTTGCCGGGGCAGCCTGCATCTGCCCTGGGTGGGCAGAGGCCGTAGGCTTGCAACGCAGCTGAGGCTTCTGCGAGGAGCAGTGCGGGTGGCGCTGGGGATGCGCAGGGCAGGAGGGTGGCCATCTGGTTCCCGCGCGTTCTCTTCTCCATCTTTACGCTGCCATGGTGTTGGAGGAGAAGGAAATGAAGAATTAGAGCTGCAGTATTTTCCTCCCAGCTCAGTGTCACGTCTGGGAGGTTTCCAGTGTAGCACGTGAGATGACATCTTTGGGAGGGGGTGTCAGAATTCCCTAGCGGCGCCTTGCGCGTCTTGGCTGCCCTGTGCTCTTGGAGGTCACTGGGTTGTCACTGCTGTGCCTCTCTTGCTTGTGCCTCAGGGAAGCTGGAGGTAGCGATACCTGGAGGCTTTGGTGGGGACGCTCCTGGGGCAGAGGCCGCGTGCCCTCCAAGAAGCCGCAACCCAAACATGGCATGGCCCTGGTCCTTGGGCAGGCTCAGCAGGGGGAGAGGGACTGCTTGCCCTGCTTGTGGTGCGCTGTGCACTCTGCAGGGGCACTAGTAGCTGGATTGGTGCACGTTGGTTGGAGCTGGCAGGCAGGAGATCGTTGCCAGCTGTCTGTGGTCTGCAGCAGTGCAGTCCCTTGGTACGGAGATGGACGCTAAGGAGAGCGCGGCTGGAGCCACGTGGGAGCAGTGAGCGCAGAGAGTGCAAAGTGGGGTTTCAGACCCTGATAGCTGCTCTGCCCGGGGTTCTCCTGCGGGCAGAGCAGAGGGGCAGCCCTGCTGCCCTAGCCAAGAGCCAAAACCTGCCTAAGCTAATTACATAGCTGAGCAATTAGCAAGAGGTAGGACCTCCTACCATGTGGAGGAGGGAGAAAGGCGGGGGGCATGGCGTGCGGGTCACTGAGGCTGCCTCTTTGCTATGCAGAGAGCTGCTGTGGTTGTGAACACGGCTGCCCATCGCTCATTAGAGCTGCCTTCCAACCCGGAGGGAGGAAGCGATTTTCCTATGACAGGCAGGTGGCCAACATGATAAATATTCCTGCCGCCTTGGGCTGCTGAGGCTTCCTCGCAGGCGGCTTTCTGTCGCAGCCGTTAACAAGGGAGGCGCAGGGCTCCGCGATGCTCCGCGGTCTCGTGTAAGGCTCCGTAGGGAGGCCCGGATTGTAGACGGGTTTCCTCCCTCCCCCAGCAACGCGCGGGTCGCTATAATAGGCCGTTTATTATTATCGCTTCGAATATGCATCACGATGGCCAAGAGGCCTCGGCAAAGCTCAGGGCTGTGTTTCGCCGCCGGGTCCAGGGCGCTTCGGATTTGCGGAGCCCGCTCCAGAGCTGTCAGTCTCCCTCCGAGGGTCCTCTGGCTTCCGGGTAGCTTCCCGCCTTGCTGCGATCACGAATATCGCTCGTTTGTGGGCCGACGCTAAGTTTGGGCCCCGTTGACGGCAGGCGCCGCGCGGCTCCGCGGGAAAAAGCCCTCGGCTGAAAACAGAGGCGTGGGGAGGCAGCGCGCCTTGTCCGGAGCAGCCCGGCCGGTCGATAGCGGGGCGGGCAAGGGAGTTCAGCAACTGGAAATACTGGGGGCCGTATCGCTCCAAACGCTGCAGGTGTCCTGGGACGTGCTGGGGGAAGGCGCGTCAACCGACAGCGCGTCCCTTTGGCCCTTGGGCAACGCAGACTGCTCGAAGACAGGCAGGCAGCGCCGCGTCTGTCCCTTCCCCGGGGCCAAATTATTTCCTGAATGGTTTTTTGCCCGAGGGCTGCTCTTCTGGCCTGGATGGGCCTGATGCTGTGCTGTACGCTCAAGGTAACCTCGCGGACAAGGCCGGCAACGTGACAGGCCAGAAGGAAGAGACGGAGGGAGGAGAGGAGAAACACGACTGGCTGAAGACGACCGCTGAATTTCAGGCAGCTCCTCCGGGGCTTCCAGCAAGGGAAGGCTCCTCCTCTGGAGGCCGAAAGCTGTTTTCTGTCCCCGCAGTGGATTGAACATGGGCGAGCTGGGTCGATTCCCTGAGCCGCCTCCTGGGGATCTGGCGGCTGCTCGATGACCTCATCTCGCCAAGGTTTCAGCAGCCTTGCTTCCCTTCCTCCTCCCGCCACCCCCTCCAGCCCTGGCCTTTGGAAAAGGTGAAGGATGGAGTGTGCGGGAGGCTAAAATCCTTCTATTGATCCGTAGTCTGGAGAGCTATTAAGGCGAGCCTTGCAGCGCCGCGCCATGACTGGCGCGCAGGAAGGCGGGGGTGCGTGCGTGGGGAGGCATGGGAGCCGTGCTATAAAGTGGCAGCCAAACCGATTAAACCCGTAGGTGGGTTGGCGTCGCGCTCTGGGCTCCCAGGAGGCACCCGCGCTGTCCCCTGTGACGCCAGGAGCAAGAACTTGCATGTCTGTGCGCGGCGGAGACAAGGGCTGCTCTGCCAGACCCGTTCAGGCTCTGGCTTCTCTTCTGAAGCGGCCAGACGTCAGGAGGAGGGAGAAAAGTTGTAAACGGATTGTGGTGTGGGTGGTGAGGGCTTTTACGTGGACACCTGTCTACAAGACGCTAGTCTGGGACGATGAATTCTTCTCCGTCCCTACGTGCTGGGCCCCAGCTGGTGAAACGCTCTGTAATCCATTACTGGTCCCTTGGACCATCATTTATCACAGAGAGAGACAGAGGAGGCCTCGCAGGGAGTGGATGCTGCCCTTTATCCATCCTCGCAGTCCAGCAGGATCCAGTGACATGCCATTATTATAATAAAAGGTGCGTTCCTGATAGCCGCTTGGCACCTATTTGTTCTCGTTCTTCAAACTGCCAGAGCAGTGGTGAGTGGGTGCAGCGGTGCACGGAGGTAGAGCAGCAGATGTCGTGTCTGTCTGAGGAGGAAGGGGAGGAAGGACAGGAGCCCTTCTTCTCTAGGGGCTTCAGAAGAAGAGCCCTTCCTGGGGGCGTTCCTGCGTTGACTCTGATGACTTCTGCCTGGTGGCAGAGGGCAGGAGGGCACGCCTGAACCCTGGGCTCCCATACCCTCGTTTCAGGGGTGCTGCGTGCGCAGAAGAGTGGCTCAGTCTCTGGAGCTACTAACGCTGAGCTCCTCTGCAGTCGCAGTGAGATCTTTGGGCCTTTCTGCAAAGGACAGAGGTGTTTTACCACTGACTTCACTAGAAATAGGTTTCCACCCTCTAGCTTTTAACTTCAGGGCTACAGAAATTGCTAACAGAGGCCAAAGCACTGGTCTTTGCGTTCCCCCTCCCGAGAGTGTTTCCACAAGTCAGCGTCTGTCTTTTCCAGGTGTAAACGGGAAGGGAAAACAAACTCTCTGAGATAAATATTTTGGCCACATTATATTTCTGTGTGTGTGGGTATGTGGAAAATACTTCTTGTTCCCATAGAGCGGACCTGTTTTGCCCTCGCTCGTGGAGACAGCAGGCTTACTGTGCGTGCATCGGTGTGCGTCCCTTCCTTTCTTCTGGGGGCATGAAAAGACCAAGGAAAGAAAACCACAGAAGGAGAAAGGCTTGTGTAGGAGAAGCAGTTGCTAGCCCAGCTCTGCTGGAGATGTCCGTACCGCTGCCAACGAGCCTGCGTTTGGTGTGTTTCCAGGACTGCGAGCGCGCGCAGAGGAGAGGGACCGTAGGGAGGTCTTGCACCTTTCCTCCCATCCTTGCCAGTCGTGAACGCAGCGGACGGGACTAGTTTGCTGTCCACGCCGGTAGGGACCCGGTGAGCACGTGTGACCGACGGGGACCGACCACCTTCTCCCTGTGCAGCCTGAGATAAGCCTGAGGATGGGGCTGGCTGGCTGGCGGCTGGAGAATTCATTCCCAAGCATTGCGTTGCTGCAATTCAATCCTTGGCTTGCTTTTGGAATAAGGAAGTACCTAATTTTAAAGCAGTTGGCTGTTAGAGTCAGATCCCCTCGGAGACGCTTACTCTGGCTGCAGATGGAGGTGTCTCGCCCGAACATTGACTGTGCCTGGAATAATTGAGTTCAGTTTCGCTTCCTCTATTTACCAGGCTGCAGCCACTCTTCCAAAAAGGAGAAAGAGAATTACCTCCCCTCCAACTTGGAAGAAAGGAAAGACCTCCCCAGAAATTGCAAAAAAAAAAAAAAAAAAAAAAAAACCAGTCAGCCGTTTCAGAGTTTTGTGCGTTTTCGCACAAACAGCTGGGAATCTGTCTCTATGGAACAGGGACTGCAATAGGAATAGATGAAGGCCTGTGTCCGTCCGTCTGCCTGCCTGCCTGGTGGCTGGGGGTGGGGAGAGGAAGGAAAGCGCTCACTGGCTCTTCGGCGATGTCCTCTGCCCCCGCCTATCCCCTCACGCTGACAGTCGCCCAGCACAGAGGAAAGCCAGTCATTTTCCCTGCAGCTGTTGCCAGAGGCACAAAAATAGCTGACGCTCATTCTAGCTGGAAAAAGAAGAGGTGTCGAGGAGAGCGAGGAGCTGCCTGGCCTGCAGCAGGGCATGGAGCGGCTCGGCGGGCCGCCCGAGGTCGGCGCGTCACGGCCGGCCGGTCGGGTAGCGCTGTCCCAGGCAGCAGCGAGCAGTGCCTTGCAGGTCTGGTCTTCGTGCTGCAGAGGAGAGGGTCTTGTGCACGCCATGAAGGAAGGACCGTGATAACCAACGGAGGCTACGGAAGGGACGTGGGAGGTCTGATGCTTGCCCACAGTGAGCGCCCCGAGGGTCCCACGCTGATGGGAGAAGCGCTGGGGAGAGAGAGGCCTGCAAACGCGCGCCTGCGCCGGGGAGCCCAGCTCTCCGCACCCGGGAGTGGGCTTGGGAGAGCGATGGGCAGCTCCAGCCCTGCTCCAGAGGGACCAGGAGAGGTAGGAGGCTTTGGAGGGCTCCTGTCTCTCCCCGCAGCTCCAGCCAAGCGCCGGGGAGACTCTGGCGCCGCAGTCCGGCGTTCATCTGTTCGTACTGGGCCTGCGCATACGAGGAAAGACGTGAAATCGTCCTCATCTGCTAGGGCTGTTTGTAAGCAATGACCGTTTGGCCTTGTCTTGATGGGAGGCTGGTGGTCTTTGTATAATCGCTGCGCGGGGAGACGCACAGTCGCTCTACAAACGGCGAAACGCAGAGGGGCGCAGGCTGCCCGAAGCGGGGCTGTGGCTGGAGGGGAAGTGGTGGTGCAGCTACAGGAGCAGGGAGGAGGGAGAGGCTTGGGACGGGGCAGGAGGGGAAGGAGCAAGCTAGGAGCAGAAACGTAGTGGAAATGATGACGTAGCGTCTGACGACTTCTTGTGCAGACTGCCGCTGTTTTAAAAGCATCTTACTGGCGTGATAACTTCCTCTGTAAATCCTCTCTGCTTCCTGGTACGTTGGACTGTGTTGGTGGCTCTGCCAACTAGCTAGTGGGTCCTCAGCCTGTGCCTTTGCTATTCGCTCTGCCTGCCCCTCTCATCTCCAGCCTGTTGAGCGTTGCCCCAGGGAACAGGCCGTTCGTGGCGCTCTGGGCTTACCATGATTTTGTGGCATCCCACCTTATCTTGTCATTACTTGCAGAGGTGCTGTCCAGCCTGCTGGGGACGAGAGCAAAGGAGTCACGGCAAGGGGTGTTATGGTCGTGGTGCTGATCAAATGCCTCCGGGCAAAATCTGAAACCTACAGAACAGATAATTTTGTCACGATAGACCTCTGGGAGAAATATTTCTTCTGGTAAATTGTTGCTTCGTGCTCTGAAACGTAACAGTTTATATCCCTCCTAAACTCTTACTCTGCCTTAGGCGTGGATGTTCCCTTCCCTATAAACGTCCTTCTGATCTCTTGCTCTAAACGACACCGTGTAGCAGTGGGTTCCACGCGTTTGTAACGCCTTTTTTTT